AGGTGAGGGCTGGAGACCACTCAAAATTACAGTTGCTCTGCAGAAGGGAGGGTGGAAGTCAGCTGAAGTCAAAGGGGCAGATAATGGTAGGTTGATGGTTAGCTGCAAAGGAGATGGGGTTGCCAACTCCAGGCTGGCAAATTCCTGGGGATTTGAGGGGTGGAGCCTGGAGAGGGTGGGGTTTGCGGAGGGGTGGGACATCAGACAGGTAGAATGCCATAGACTCCACCCTCCAAACCAGCCATTTCGTCCTGGGTAACAATTGTTGCCAATTTCCAGGTGAGGGCTACAGATCACTCAAAGTTACAACTACTCTTCAGGGAGCAGAGATCAGTTCCTCTGGAGAAAACAGTGGACTCTGCCATTATACCCTGCTGAGGTCACCACAGCAAAATGACACTGTTTGCCCAAAGCCAGAGCACTCCCCCAGAGCCTCTTTCTAGATCCCGTTGTATTTATTTCCACAACGGGCTTTACTGCTAGTCTAACTATATAAACAAAGATTCAGGTGGGTAGCCGTGTTGGTCTGAAGCAGAAGTACAAAGTTTGAGTCCAGTGGCACCCTTTAAGACCAACTAAGTTTTATTCAAGGTGTAAGCTTTTGTGGGCATGCACACTTCTTCGGATACATTGAAATGGAAGTTATCAGTCTCTACATATTGGTAGACGGTGAACAACAAATTAGTATACAGCATATTAAAGTTGTTTTACAGATGCAAGGACCAAACTGGAGCAACAAGCTTAGTTTATGTGGTCACTAGTAGTGTTCCCTCTAAGCTGAGTTAGGGTGAGCTAGCTCAGTTTTTTAGCCTCCAGCTCACACATTTTTGTCTTGGCTCAGGAACGATGGCTCCAGAGCAGACTAATTTATGCAGCAGCCAAATTGCTCACTCACAACTTTAATGCCAGTTGCTCACAAAGTAGAATTTTTTGCTCACAAGGCTCCACAGCTTAGAGCAGGGGTGTCAAACATAAGGCCTGGGTGCTGGAACTGGCCCCTACAGGGCTCATGGGGCCCGTGAACAACTGGTACAAGGGAGGGAATGCTGGGGGGAGCCACTCCACTGTGGCTTCAGCATGGTGGAACAACCTCATCTGCAGTAGTCCAGCATTGTGGGAGTGTCTACCTAGTACTGCACTGCTGCCTCTCCAGCCCTCCCATGTGGGCTTTCCTCTGGATCCCCTTTCCAGCCCATGGGGCCTTGAACTGAGGATACACCAACTCGGAGCTTACCAGCTGCTGTCCTTTATACAGTTTATATCTCTGGTACCTGGCATTACGTTTTATGGCACACATGGCCCAGCCAAAGTGACATTTATGTCAGATCCAGCCCTCGTGACAAATGAGTTCGATACCTCTGGCTTAGACGGAGCATTGGTCACCAGGGCGCTCTCTCTCTCTCTTTTTGGAAAAAGGTGCTGGAACTCTCAAGAGGGAAATGAAGTTTTCAACCTGTACACCAAAAACTCGTGAACTTTTAAAACATTTTAAAGAGAATTTTGCCAAAGCGGTTCTTGAACTCTGTTCCGGTGCATTCCCCCAGGAAAAAAAAAGCCCTGGTGGTCACCATTTGTTTGGGTTTAATGGGGGGGGACACACATAGTGAAGGAAATAAATATACCAAAATCGGACATTGATGGACAGATGCACCTTTGCACAGTTACGGCGTGTGCAATTAAAAATGAATTATATGTTGTCTTCCCTATCCCCTATGAAACATTGTTAGTCCCCTGTCTAAAGAGTAACTGTAAATCACTTTGAGCCCACTTGTGGGGAAAGCGATTAATAAATTGAAAGCATTATTATTATAATTTCAATGTATGAGTGCACATGAAAGCTTATACGTTCAATAAAACTTTGTTGGTCTTCAAGGTGCCCCTGGATCCGACCATTGTTCTATTTAAACAAATAAACAAATATAAGGTCAACAGTCGTGTTAGTCCGACCCGCAATCAACAGTCATACGACTTATAAGAATTGCTGTACATGTATTGTGCTCTGAAGCATTACAATATGATACACAACTTAATAGAATTTATAAATCACGGTACAAAGTCGTCTCCGGATTATTTACCAACGTAAAGAGAAGGTGTGGAATCCTGAGAGCAATCCCAAATGTTTCAAGAACATTGAGACGTGAGAATGGGAGTATTCCTACTACAACCAGTTTACACTTCCGCTAAAAACTTTCGGGTAGCTTTGAGGATACCAGGCTATACTTACCACGTGTCTTAAAATGGCAACTGCGTAAGCTGGTTTAAGTCTGCCCTTTTGCATCATGTTCTATGACTGTGGGCTACTAAAAATTGTGCGGAGTTATCCTTTCCTCATGAGCATATAGAATAAACACAGTAATGTCTCTGACCCCTCTTTTTGCTCACAACGAAAGGTCGAACCCAGCTAGAAGGCAAGAGGCTGCCTTGGTTTCTATCGGTGCGGCCAGACACTCCGGTGCTCGCCGCCAATCGAGGAATATTTTGTCGAGAGCGATTAATGAAACGATACGAACGTTCAGGAGATTCCAGTCAATACCCGTGGCTCCGTAGTTGCTATGGAGACGAGGCTTCCTTAGGCCTCATAATTTTGAAATCCCACCACATCGCTGTCCCTTAACCCAGCTTTCAATCAGATGATCCTACTTCTCGGGCTCCACCCCCTGTTGCCAAGGAAGTGAGGTCACATAATATGGCGGCTTGAGCCTAGCTGCGCGGAGGGAGGAGCTGGGCGGAGAGGAATCAGCGTCCATCCTTCCCGGTCGGCGTGTATCCCCGGCCCTGAACCCCTCCGGCATCGGGAAGCGAGACTGAAGGCCGCGATGGTCGCAGGAGTTGCCCTGCTTTGAGTCGCAGTCCTCGCAACCGGGTTGGGTCCAATATAGCCTCCTCGATGGAGCTGAGAGTCGGTAACCGGTACCGGCTTGGCCGGAAGATCGGGAGCGGCTCCTTCGGGGACATTTACCTTGGTGAGCAAGCGCAGCCCTGGGCGAGTTTTGGGAGAGCCTGGGGCTCCGTGAGGGCGGCCTTGGGGAAGTGGCTCCCCTGTTGGAGGCATGGTCGTAGCTTCCTTCGCCTTTTTGTTTAGCCAGGAGACTCGGCGGCGATATTCTCCGTGAGGTGACAGGAACGCCCAAGAGCCGCAATGAGCTCCGTATTGGGAAATGAGTCTTTTGCTTCGCCTGCTCAGTTGTGGCCGTACTCATTTGGAGTAAGTCCCAGTTTCTTGAGTGGGATTTGCTTCCAAGTAAACATATTCCGTCCTTAATTTGTGTTCCGGAAGTGGGGGCCAGAGTAGCGCTCAGTAACTTCCTCTGTGACCTTGGGCAAGTCACTTTTTCTCCCTCACCTTTGGTTTTCCCAAGTTTTGCTTGATGATCCTGAGCTGGTCAGTTCTGGAGGTGATGTACGAATTATTTATGAGAGAAACCATTACAATATTTGAACTATTTGGGCTGTCCTGGCTCCAGAAACGAATCCAAGGGAGTTGTGGCTTGTTATGGTTACTGTTACATGGCTTTTACTTCTGCTTTTTTAAGCTGTGTGTATCTGGAAGGTATGCATTTGTTTTCTTTCTGGCAGAAAAGTATGCTGAGTTATTTTCAAACTAAGTACCCAGTTTGGATTATATAAATTGTGGGCCACAACCAGAGGCTTCTTAAGTGGTAATGAATCTTTAATAGACCCTGAGGATTGATGTGGATTTTCCCTTTCATTTTGTATGCTGTAAGATAGTCTGGGTGTCTTCTTTCAAACAGATGTATTTTATGCAAAGGTAAGCCAGAAAAATATCTGATAATATACTGATGCTGGCAAATAGGTTTGGGTTCAATCCTGCAAAGTCTTCTGCTAAGCATTGCAGTATGCATTGAATGGCTTTAATAGGATTGCTGACTTTGCATGCTGATGTACAGGAATGTAAGTCAATCCAAGTCTGAGCACTTGTGGTTAAAAATACACTAATTTGTGCATGAGAGGAGCAGGGAATCCATCTGTGAAATCTGTTAGCTGTTGTTTAAAGCACACCACTTTACAATTTTGCTCTATTGCAGTGTTCTGTATTAGAATGCTGACATGCTTAATCACTTAGCTGCTTGTATGAAAAAAAGAATGACAGATTAAGACTTCTGTTTGACTGTACATTATCAAGGATTAGAAGACTGATTTGGTGATGTCTCTGGTGCTGGGTCTCAAACTACTTGAGAACTGTTTTAAAAGGCTTCCATTGCTATATGCCACATGCTGACATTATTAGTTAAAGGGTTATGAGGTAGTGCTTCTGGAGCTATATATAAGGGTGTGCCTCCAGCAATAGAAAGAGCTGTCATTCTTTTCTGTTGCAGCTCCACCTATGGGAGCAGTAGTTAAAGCTGCCGTGCAGGTTGAGAGACTTTATATAAAACCATAGAGGTGTTATTAACCTTAATAACACTGTTCATCTAGATTTCCAGCCAGACAGTGAACAGCTAGTGTGTGAGAAGCAGCTGTCTGTTTTGATTTTCTTTTTAAAGAGTTAAATACCAGAAAGTGCAGTTATCTGGACTGTATACTAATATAGTGTCTTAAAGCTAGAATGGGGGAGGGCTTGTGTGCAAGAGAATAACGCCACTGCACCAATGTATATGTCTATTCCTTGTATAATAGCAGCCAGCCTTGAGTCTTTATACTGAACTGTTTCACCATCCTATTACATTTTTTAAAATCCTCCATGCTTGTAGTACTGGAGCTTTTACTAACCCTAGATATAGTTAAGTCTTTGGTGCCTGTAGTGAGTGTATAAACCTGACACTAGTGTGTTTGGAAGATGGCAAGGGAGGAATAAATGAGTGTCCTTTCAACTAGGTATCTTCATAAGGTAATCATAATTGTTGGACTCTTAACATTTCTTATTTCCATATTCTAGCATTAAGAAGAATTATTGCATTTAAGTCACTAGTGTAGTGAAAGCTGTCAGCCCTGGTTAGTACTTGGATGGGAGACTACCAAGGAATTCCAGGGTTTCTATACAGAGGAAGGCAATGTCAAACAACTTTTGCTGATCTCTTGCCTTGAAAGTGCTTTCGGGTTGCCATGTCAGCTGTGACTTGAGGGCACTTTACATGCACAAACAACAATTTCTAAGGCAGATTTTAAGTAAGTGTAAATTAAGATTCTCCTACAGAAAGGAAGGCAGTTTAAAGTAGTAGTCTAAAACATTTTTTTTCTTTTCTGTCTTAGGAAGTGTGTGGCATTCTCAATAAGCATTTGCCTCTTTTTTTAATTCTCTCATGTATTACCTACTGCTCCTGGTGTTTGTATGTGAGTGTGAGAAAGATAATTTGCCTTTCCCCTATAAGTCTCCAAGGCAGTGTTTGTAGGTGCAAGAACATATGCTAAAGAGAAAGTTTGCTCATGAGAAATACTAGAATACCCACCTTTGTATTAATGTGGTACAAAGTTATGTGTCTTTGACAGTGACCTAAAGAGAAACTGAATTTGGTTATTTATTTGACAATAGCCATGTTATCCCAGAAAATCCAATACAAAGTTCTAACTTCCAAGTAGGAGATTGTAGGGCTTTCTCAGCAGAAATGTTTTGACTGGCTGTAATATAAATGTGAATCTGTGATAAAGATAGGTAAAGGTTCCCTTGATCAAAAGCCAGTCGAATCCAACTCTAGGGTTGTGGTGCTCATCTCCGTTTCAAAGCCGAAGAGCCAGCGCTGTCCGAAGACGTTTCCATGGTCATGTGGCTGGCATGACTAAGCACCAAGGCGCATGGAACGCTGTTACTTTCCCACCAAAGTGGTACCTATTTATCTACTTGCCATTTCTTGCTTTCGAACTGCTAGGTTGGCAGGTGATAAAGATATTCAAGTATTAATATTAAGACCTCTGTCTGAAGTCTGCCAGGATTAAGTTCAGAGGTTGCAGCCCAAAAATGTTTTGTTAATTCTGACTGTTTTAAAACACTGCTAATGGCCTGTCCATCTAAAACTACATCATTTCATTTTTGGATGGTGTGGGGCCACAATTGCCAAGCATAAATCTAGAAGTAATTTTGGTATTTTGCGACCTTCCTGCTATTAGTGGTAATAGAGTTCTGTGATGCACCAGTATTGTGCACTGATACCAAAAGATAGCAAGCTGTTTAGAGAGATTCTAACTTGCATATTCATGGTACTTATCTCCAGATTACCTCAGTGTTTCTCAGACCCCGACCTTTACCCAGCTTTTGTCGTCTTAAGAATTGTGAAATGTTGCCCCTTCAACTAAACAAATTCGTTGGCAGAAAATCTGCTTACCTGAGAAGAGTGGCTCCCCTGCTCAGGAATCTGTGTCCAACTGCAGCTGTGTACACTTTATCCCTTCTTATGAAATGAATAAGCAACATGTTTGTGTCCTGTGGTTTTGGTGGACTTGAAGTTTTATGTGCCATTCTACTGACATTCTGGGTAAAATGACTAACTTTTTTAAAAGCATGCCTCTTTCTTCCTTTCCTGTGTAGCTCTGTATAAGCCATACAAACATATGCAGGATGGTAGGTGTAATATGAAATCCACTTTAGAAACATTCGCCACAATTGTTCTTATTTGTAGAAAGACCTGAAATCAATTTTGTGCTGTTGCATCCATTTTGGACAAAAAGAAAATGGTTTGAGGACTCTTAGTTATTGTTCTTGTTCATGTGGGTAGCAGTATTGGTCTGAAGCAATAGAACAAAGTTTGAGTCCAGCGGCACCTTTAAGATCAACAAAGTTTAAATCTGGTATAAGCTTTTGTGTGCATGTGCACTTCTTCAGATAGTTTTCTTTGCCCAAAATCTTGCATGCAGTTTGTTTGCTTACTTCATTTATACCATGTCTTTCTTTCCAATGGGGACCCAAAGCATCTTGGGTCGTTCCCTCCATTTTATCCGCACAACAATCCATGAGGTAGGTTAAGGTGAGTGTGTGTAACTTGCTCAAGGTTATTCAGGAAACGTGCGTGGCAGAAGGAATTCAAATCTAGGTCTCCTAGATGCTAGTCAAAGACTAACCAGTATGCCTCACTTAGAGGAGAGCAGTTAATCTCTATGCTAAACACTAATTTTGGGGGGGCTCTCACATGTCTAAGTGCTTAAGGAGAGGCAGTGTCTTCTTAAAGAAGGCTACCAAATCAAGGTGCTGAAACTAAAGGGGGAGGGGGGTAGGATGCAACCAGTTTGCTTTCATTTTCATTTCCAGTTCATTGGATCCAGAATTCTGTTAGTGCAAGGAGTGTGGATTTTTGTCACATTCTCTCCCCCCTCCACCCCAGCAATCCGTTCCAGCCCTGGGTTGCTTTGTAAGGCTGTGGGTCCCAACTGAGATGGGAAACTATACTAGGAGGGAGAACAAAATTGCCCCCTTTCTTAGTGTAGCACCCTGGCTTCACATGGCTGTTAGCCCACACAAGTCCTATGGCCCTGGAGATCAACTTTCCTTAGAACAAAAGGTACTGTTGGTACTGTTGGATGTAGGGGAGCATGGGAAAGATTCACATCTGTCAGCAGTTTCCACTGACAGGTTGCTGAATCTAACTATATCATTTTTGCCCTAATTTATATATTGCCACAGACCAGAAAAACCATCTAATGTATTTTTGCTGTATGCTGTGCATTTGTGTGTTCTGTCTCTTCCCCCCTCTCCCATGATCCAGATGAGACGGAGAAGGGATACAATGGGTTGGTCCCCTGTGTTCCCCCAAAAGATGCTCCTTAGGGTCAGCAGACCTTCAGGAATGTATGAAAATTGCCCCTCCCCCCCACATAAACCCAGGCTAGCCTGATCTCATCAGATTTTGGAAATTATGCTGGGTCAGGCCTGGTCAGTATTTGGATGAGAGACCACCAAGGAAGTCCAGGATTTCTACACAGGCAAGCAATGGCAAATCACCTCTGAACATCTCTTGCCTTGAAAGCACTATGGGGTCGCCATAAGTCAGCTACAACTTTGACAGCAAAAAAAAGTGTCACTGAAGGAAGAGCTGGGATCCAGCCTGTCTTCCTAAGTGTAGTAAGTCTGTAACAGTCTCTACTCTTGACTCAAGCCTGCTTAGTAAACATAATTTGCAGATGGTTGTGATAAAGTATTACCTTACACCTAACTTAGTGAATGATTAGTGATAGCTGAGAAATACACTGATAATTAATTAATTAACATATGGCATTGTGTGTGGAATAGTCAGGAGATCTTAAGATTGTCTGGCAGTCAGACGTTCTAGCTCTTTTAGTGTTATGCACCACTAGGTGGCCAGCTAGACTTGTTTTTAAGGCAAGAGACAATATTAGAGGTGGTTTGCCATTGCTGCCTCTGCATCACAAACCTGGTATACTTTGGAGATTGCCTTTCCAAATACTAGCCAAGGCCAATCCTGCTTAGTTTCCGAGATCTGAAGTATCGGGTTAGCCTGGGCTATCCAGGTCAGGGCACACTAATAGTTCTTGAAAATCCATAGAATACTGCCAATTACTGGGTAAGGAATAATTTCTGCAAATATTGGATTGGATATGCAGAGCACTGAAGCAAGATCTATCCTGAGTTACTTTTTTTGTCGGGAGGAGCTAATCACATGCTTAGCCCAACCCTTGAAATAAATGGAATTTGAGTGTACTTAGGTTTTTTTTATTATTGGATTGTTTCCGTTGCGTGCATAGATTATTATTTTTAGTGCTTTTTGTCAGATTGAAACGGGGCAGGGTTACATGACTAAATGTTTAATGATGACAATAAATTCAAACAAGATTAAGCTCTTCTTGTGTTTCTTTACTTTTTGGTGATAAAGTAGCTAGGATCTAGCTAGTTCTATGTCCTCAAGGGAGCTTTGGACTTGTCCCTTTTGAACAACAGTCCAAGGTGCCATTTGGCAAACTGTTTTTTGAAACGAAAGAGATGTTCAGAAACCATTTATTATGGCATAGGGTTTTACTTTTCACAGAACAAATCTATAATTCCACTGGGCCAGTAAAAGGCCCTTGCATGATAAATTTGTACATCGGGAACCAAAATAAGTTTTAAAAAATTAAACAGCTTAATTATACTACCTTTGGGTCTGTAATGCACTTTGAAGACCTGTTCCAAAAATATTTTAAAACTTCCAGCTTTTGCAGAATGTTTTTTTCATGTATACCCTTCATGCAGACATTTAAGATGTCACTCTTTTCATCATGGTCTGTCAAGCCACACTTCTGTAGTTGATGACTTCATTTACTGTGTCAAATATGATTAAACCAAAGGCATAGTAGTACAAAGGATTCAAGCAAGAGGCAACAATATACATTAAAAGAAATGCAAAAAAGAGGAATAGAATTTAGTATGTTAGAAATAATTTGTCCCACTTCAGGAAAAGGGCAAGCTGTTTTTTCCTTGATCTGGATACATGGTGCATTCAGTGACCCCCTAATATCCTGTGGCTTCAGGATTCCAGGGTAGTCCATGGTGGCTGTATTTATTTCTGAGAGTCAATTGGTGTTTTTGCAGTTTTGGATTATGACACTGAGTTCTCTTTGATTTCAGGGACAGACATTGCTGCTGGAGAAGAAGTCGCCATCAAATTAGAATGTGTGAAGACCAAACATCCTCAACTCCACATAGAGAGCAAAATTTACAAAATGATGCAGGGTGGAGGTAAAATTATGCTGATATATCATGTGTCTGTTAATGGTCCCATTGTAGGTGTAGGAAAGCAATAAATTAGTGCAGTATTCTCAGTGTCTCTTCAAGATATCTGTTTCACATGTGGGACCATGAAGCTGCTATCTGTTTTACATATGGGACCATGAAGCTGAAATAACTGAGAGTGATGCCATGAACTTGTGTTCTTAGCATGCTGCCCAGTGTAAAAGCTGGGTAGCTGGTCTTGAATTTCTATGTGGATTAACAGATCACGCATTGCAAAATAGTCCCAAACAAATAGTCTCCAAGCTTTGGAGAAAAGCATATTCCATATGAATTATAGGTACCTCTGTGTCCTGGTGCTTAAAGCATACCTTGTTTTTCACTCTGCAAAATCATGGCACATTAGAGTTCAGCTGTTAAACTTTGTTGCTTTTCACAATCATTTTAACACTAGAGAGTTGAACTTTTCAAGTTTATAAATGAAGTAACTTTTCCCTGGGAATTATTGCCTTCTGGTACTTTTAAGCATGGGTTGATTTAAGTGGACTGACAAACTGCTTTATATAAGGCATAAACTCTGTATGATGGAGTTACAATGTTGAAGCCAAGGGGGAAAAGCTGGAGGGCGCCCTTTTTTGTTCCCCGGGGGGGGGGGGGGGGGGGGGGATGGGATTTTGGGGAAATTGAAATACATGTAATATCAAGCCTTATCAATACTTATTTTACTGCTTTAGCAATGTAAAATGCACAATTCATAACTTGGTTAGCATATAAAATTTCATTGTTAGACATATTTATGAAATTTAAATATTTTCATCTTCTGTCAGCAGCTGTAAATACGATACACTCAATACTACAGCAAAAGAGCTGCAGACTGCTGTGCTCTCTGCTGTCTTAGCTCATATATTTTTGGTTTTTACCATCTGAGAGATTTGAATAAATAAATAAAAGTTGGGAATAGAACACACACCTTTTTTAGTAAAGTGTGTTCTGTGGGCAGCGGCTGTCTCATAATCACTGTAGGGCTTGCCAGCATGTCTGGATACCACCTTAAACTTTCTGGCACACTATTGTAATGTTTCCATTGTTATCACACATGTAAAAGCATATTAATTGTAAACAAAAGTAGTCATATTGAATCAAATGTATGCTTTATATGCCTGTGAAATACATAGAATTTATGTAATGCTGTAGATTATCATACACAAAAATCTTCAAACAACACATTCTAAATAAAGCTGTGTCCTAAAAGCATTTCATTTAGTCCAAAATAGAAAATATCCCCCCCCCGTAGGGGATTTTTTAAATTTGCATTTTCTAAAAACTACAATGAACATAGGGAGGGGATCTACAACTATAGGAGAAAGGAAAGAAAACCCACTAAAAACCCAAGAGTTGGAGGTCATGTACTGCTTATAAAAGTATTAGCTTAACAATATAGCAATTGCTTTTCTTAACATTGAGAGTGGTCTATCATCATCATCGATTATGTTAACAAACCATCAAATCTGACTATATAAAGAGCATTCCAGGAGAATCGCTAGTTAACTTAAACACAAATTTCAGAGAACAGTGGCATCTCACTTAAAATTGTTTTTCCCTCCTTCCTTTAAAGCCAATTAATAATTAAATTTCCCTCAATAGGTGTAACACAGTCAATTTCTCTTTTCACGCTGTAATCTTCTTTCTTCTTGAACACTTTCCCTGTGGCATTATCTTGCTGGAACTGGAACTGGTCATCTCAAAACAAAGTCCCTTTTTCTTTTTCAAGGACTGTTATCTGCTTGAATTCTTGCCTTCGATCTTAGAGATCATTCCAATTGTTGCTTTTAAAAGTCAAACTTACAGAGAGTCTGTCCGCCCTTTTGCCCGTCAGAATTATTTCGGATATGTCCATGGTATACCCATTCACTTTCAGCTTCGCTTAATGTATTTATTATTTATTTTATTCAATTTATACCCTGCCCTCCCCGCGACATCTGCATACAGGTCCCACCACTTAAACCTACTCATTAGACTCTCTTAAATCTTGGAAGTCCCTGTGATCAAAGGCTAGTTGCTTCTCCAATGTTAACACAGTCCCTTGAAAATAACAGCCAATATATAGCACAGTTCTTGTGAAGTACCTCATTTTTGCCAGCAGGGGGCAAAGGCTTAGCATCCAGCCTGAACGAGTCTATGGCCCCAGTCAGACATGCTGGAAAACACGGGGGAGAAGCGCGGCTATTTGCGCCGTCGCATTCTGATGCACTATTATGCGATCAGACATGACGGTGGCTTCCCCGCAGCAAAGAGGACGACGGGGGAGGAAGCCGTGCGCCGGCACGATCACACCAGGAGGCTTCCATAGGTGGCCTGTGGCAAAACATTTGCCACTACATGCAGTGAGGTGGTTTTTTACTGCACGGCTTCGGCGGCTTGCCACAGGTTCGCCACGGGAGTGCTGCATCTCCCAGATGTTCCCGTGTGATCACGCCTGGATACTCCGCAGGACTCCCATGCCTTCAGCAGGGCAAATGCTCTGTGTGAACAGGGCCTATAGTTACTTCTGGTCACATGGGCCAGTTGCTCTTCCACTTCCTGAGGAAAGCTTGGATCTCGCTTGCTGCTGCTTCTGCATCGCCGATCACCATTTTTAAACATGTTTACTTTTTATAGAATTTGCCAAAGTCCTGAAAACTTGCCCAAACGCTTATTTGGCTCCTGTAGTCTCTCTAATACAGTCTATTGCCACTTAGAACTCCGTCCCCACTACACAGGCTTTTCTTTAATCGCTTATTTGTTCTTTCCAGGGGAGAGTCCCCTCCCCCCCTCGCTTTTAGTAAAAGGGGACTCGCTCATTTTCTGGTGTTCTTGCTTTAACGGACTCACTCTTCAACGTCTGATAACTTGGATCTTGCCAGGTAACAATTTGAATGCTATACCTCCAAGCGCTTGTCTCAGCATGCGTAGCTTAGTCCCATTCGGGAGCACAGCACAGAGACCTTCGGGGCAAAGGGAAGCCTCAGTCTTCTGGCAGCGTGCCCGCAGAGAGGCAACTCTCAGCGCCCCATAATAAGGGATTCATCTCAAGGGTCCCAGGGGGGTGCGGACATTCGCACCCCCTCTCAATGCGCTGGTCCACGGATCGTCCCCTAGGAGCTCCCTGGGGATACGGCCGCCATCAGCCCGCCAAAAACTGGAAGTCCCAAAATAGAAAATATTTCATAGGAGGTTTTTTCAGTGTTCCCAACATTTCCAGCTTTTTCACCAGAAAAATGGGGGAGTCTTGGACTCCCCTCCCTTTCCCCCCTAGGCCTGTGACATCTCTAGATGATGCAAACAAGATCCCACTCATTCTTGTGAACTTCTTGATGAGCTTTCTAGTTCAGACCCACCATTCTTTTCACTAACTATACACCAATTATTTTTGGTTTCTAAAGCACAGCATTCATTAGATTTTGGTTTGTTAAAGCCAAGCTTGTACATGTCTTAATTGGTATCTTATGAGTGCATGTGTACTGCTCCTGCAGATCTTGTGACTTATTTCTCGCCTTGGATTAGATCCCACAAAGTTTTTCCACTGACAGAAGGACTTCCATCAGCAGAATACAGCTTTCTCCCCTTCCCCCTGCAGCCCAAAATGCTGCTCTTTGGGGTCCATGCCTCCCAAGAGCAGAATTTATGGGGTCTTTTGGGCTGCAGTGGGAGGAGAGAAAATGGCACCCTGACAGAAATCCATCCACTTCAACTAATGTTTGGTTCCTTGCTGGAGAGTCCAGTCTGGACACACTGCAATGCTGCACTCTGTGCTACTCCAGAGGCTGTGTGCAGACACATGCTCTCCTCCTTCCAGTCTTGCATCATTACTATTTAAAAACTGCAAATAGGTAGCATACTGGCCATGTATAAGCAGCTCTTATGCTAACTCTTATGCAGTCCATGTATTGACTGTTCTTCTGCTGGTTATCAAGCCAGATATATTTTCTCATCTAGCCTTAAAAAGCTAGTTGTCCTTTAAGGCTGGAAGCCATATAGTTAATGCAAGTTTTATGATGATGCAATGTTGTTGGAGTGAGCAATGCAGGTAGATGGTAGAAATGGGCATTATTTTGGAAGAATCGTTTAAAGTAATCTGTAACCGAGTACTCTGTACTCTGATTGCACTGAAATGCAAGTTCTGCACTCAGAATAAATAAAGCAGATTCAGGGGGCAAGTGTGCTTATCTTTCTATATAATAATTCTGTTTTGGTCATGGACTCTCCTGAACATTCCACATGCTCCCAAATCAGTTGGCTGCCTGATCTGTCACTCAGAAGCTGTCCCTATCCACTGGCTGTGTTGCCTGAGTCTTGCATTCAGTATCCTAAACAGTTTGCTGTTCCTCTCCTCCCAATAGCCAGTTGGAACACAGAGGTCATTTGCATAAGCAGCCTGATTGGCCTTTGCCTCTAACGTTCTAAACAGTTTGTTGTTGCTGTTGAATGTGTCCTGAGGTAAAATACATATCCCAACTTTCCCTTAAACAGTCACTGGAGTTGCCAAAATACATATCCCGATCTTCCCTTAAACTGTCACCGGAGTTGCCAGTCTCCCTGTGGGGCCTGGAGATCTCCCAGAAATCATCGTGTTCCCCAGCCACAGCACATCATTTTCCCTACAGAAAATTTCCCAGCTATTACAATGGCTGCTTTGGGCAGTGGACTCTATGGCATTATACCCTGCTGAGGTCCCTCCGCACCCCAAACCCTGCTCTCCCTAGGCTCTACCCCTCAAATCTACAGGTTTGGCCCTCCCCTTAGTATTGCCAGCCTCCAGGCAGCACCTGGAGATCTCCAAGTTCAGTTGTCCTGGAGAAAATGGCTGCTTTGGGCAGTGGACTCTATGGAATTATACCCTGCTGAGGTCTCTTCGAACCCCAAACCCTGCCCTCCCCAGGTTCTACCCCTCAAATCTACAGGTCTGGCCCTCCCCTTAATATTGCCAGCCTCCAGGCATCACCTGGAGATCTCCGAGAAAATGGCTGCTTTGGGCAATGGACTCTATGGAATTATACCCTGCTGAGGTCCCTCTGCACCCCAAACCCTGCCCTCCCCATGCTCTACCCCTCAAATCTACAGGTATTTCTCAACCCAGAGTTGGCACCCCTGTAACTGGCTATGGAACTACTTTCCAGACCCTTGGAACCCAGAAGATGGCATAGGAGGAGGTGCTTTTCTACCTTAGCTGCCACTGCATAACCCCCAAATCAACATAAGTCAGGGGTGGAGGGAACCATACCTGTTACCACGAGACTGTCCTCCCATACTACCCACTTGGGGCAGCAAAATGACTTGAAACAGCCCTGCCTTATAGCTAAGCAAAAGGAAATAAACATGGCTTGCCTCCCTCTATTTTCCCCTTCCCTCTGCTGCCCCGCCAGCCACAGCCAGGACACTCACCTGAAGCTTCCTTCTAGAGCTCGTTGTATTTCTTCCCACAACAGGTCTTACTCCTAGTATACCATGAATTTGGAACACTTAGCATGTGGGTTCTTTTTGAAACCATTACAACTTCAAATGCTACTGTATGTTCTAATTTGGCAGCTGGTGATCTTGTGTGATCCTGGCCATTTAGGATAAATAGCACAACAGTTTTCTCTTCCGACTCTCCATCCAGCCTTTTAGTTGGACATGGTTGTTCTAGATAGTTAAAGGAAAGAGTACATTGCTCTAAATTTCATGAGCAGTTCTGTCCCAGGTGACTCAATACGTAACTTCAATTCACCACCTTCAAGAAATATATTTTCAGAAAGAAAATATTTAAAACTTTGATAACTGTGTATGATAGCAGCATTGGAGCTATTTCTTTAGATTTCTGATATGCAATGCAGTTTTCACAAAGCATTATAAATAACCTGTGTTTTCCCTTGTTCTAGTGGGTATTCCCACAATCAAATGGTGTGGTGCTGAAGGTGACTACAATGTAATGGTGATGGAGTTGTTGGGACCAAGCCTTGAAGATCTCTTTAACTTCTGTTCAAGGAAATTTAGCCTCAAAACAGTCCTATTACTTGCTGACCAAATGGTATTAAAATTTTTGCATTTCTTAGTTACTGAATGTGAAGGCTTCAAAAATCTAATTATAAACAGTTATTTTTAGTAGTGTTTTTATAAAGGGCTACAAGTTGTTCTTTTATAGACCAAAAGACAAACATGATCATTTAGCATAAGGGATGTGTTATAAGCTACTTTTTGGCTGTATGAATCTGATTGATACAATTGCAGTGGGAAACCTGCTTGTACCTTCTAAAAAATACATGCTTTCCCCTCCAAATAGATTATTTCTTGGATTAGAGGGTTGGCATCTGAAATGGCCATAGGTTGCAGTGTGAAGTGTGTGTGCTCAGCCATTTGCAACACTTGGAGTTATGTTCCTTAACTTGTATCCTAAGCCATGCTTTCATTTACTTTCCTCTTCATCGGTGTCGAGGGGGGGTCCTTCAGTGCACAGCACTTTTCTCTGACACCAAATGCTTTTTGGATCCTTGAAAGATACTGGTCTTGCATGACTGGAAGTTTCTAGTGCTTGAGGAAGGTATTCTCCAGTGAAGACTTTTCCACCACAGAAAAGAATGTGGCGGAAGCAAGATGTGCGGTCCAAGCCCTTACGTGTATACGTGCAAAAACTGTAAAACCTAAAGTCTTAGGCCGCATTATTCCCCTGGGGTAGTTAGTTTTAAAAAATAATTGTAGCATTGTAGTGCAGGTTGTTCTTCCAAACAAAATGTAATGGTGTTTTGGTTTGTATTTCTATCGGATTTCATTTAAAACAAGAACTAGACCTGTCCACAAAGGATATCATAGCTAATGACTACTAAGTACAGTCATAGCATTTTTCCTCTATGTGCGTGTGCTGGTGTGAGCTAGAGTGTGCTGCTACATTGTTCTTGTGTTTGAAGCAAATAATTGGGTTTGGAAACATTGTACGGGGTAAATACTCATCAGTCTAATATAAGCTGCATGTTTCAAGAGTAGTGGTTTCAGAAGGATGGTTCCTACAAAGGGCAAGACCTTCACATAAGCAGATTTTCTCCAGTGTATTTCCTTCTTCCAGCAGTCCCTCTTGAGCCATAAAAAGCTGGTGGTGAGGATTGGGGGGTTGCATAGACCAAGGGGCCATGAGGTGCTGCACTGAAGATTGAGGGTTGGACATAACTGGCTCTTCTGGCTTCACTAGTGTGGGCAATGAAGAGCGTTGATTTACCCCAATTCCCCTTCCCCACTGCAACCACCTATGTTCCTTTCCCCCCCCCCCCATGTAGGTCCTTTGACCTCCATCATCTTTTTTTATGTGAAAAGGGGCTGCTGGGGGAAGGTAAGTACAGGTGCCTTCTGCTCTTGTTTTGTAAGATGCTAATTGTGCATATAGTAGTGCTATTGTTTTGTGATTTACCTTGTCTCCCTTTCTGTTCTCTGCTAAAGTATATGTGGTTCATCATTGCTCACAGGCAGTGCAGTATAAAATCTTTTTGGAAAACTTGCTCTTTCTCTGCAGACAATACAGTTTTAAGGAAGTAGGATGGTGTTCATTGAAAACAGGCCTAAGTTCAGTCTCCTTTTCAGCCACAATAATTAACCCTTAAATTGAGCATATCCTGCCCTGTGTGGGCTAGTTTGAGTCTCCACGGCTGGCTCTACCTAACATTGAGAATTTGATTCAAGCTTTATAGAAGTGTTTTCCATCTGCTTCTTTCTAGTCAGTTCTGTTACACTTTTGAATTAGGCACCCCACTACCAATATATAACATAGAGTCTACTTCATTCTTAAACATTGAGTTGGATCCGTTAACTCCAGTCCCTTAATGCACAAGCTTTCCTTCCATGCATATATGAGCAGCTTACCCTCTGAAGGATATGCAGTTTGTATAAATGGGCAACCATTCACTAAACAAAGAAACTTTAGAAAGAAATTTTAACACCTAGTCTTACTGCTGGTCTTGTCTCAAAATGGTATACAGTCACTAGAAAGGAGTAATTGCCTAACCTGGATATTAAAGGGACATACCTTCACTACAGAAAATAGAAAAGTTCTAGGGACTGATTTTCAATACAACCAGGATATACACATCTCAGGAAAATATCCTATAAAGAAAGTATAATGTTACTAGACAGAAGCACCACCTCCATAAAGAATGCAAAAGCAGTTTCCAAAGAAAGTTACATGAGCTAAAAAATACACGTAAGCAGCTTACCCTCAGAAGAATCTGCAGTTTATATAAATGGGCGACCAGTCATAAACCGAAGAAACCTTGGAAGAAAATATTAACACCAGTTCCAACTGCTGGTCATGCCTCAAAGTTAGGTAACAAATTGTTGGGCCTAATATACAGTCACTAGAAAGGAGTGAGGCATTTCCTGGATATTAAAGGGGAAATACACCCACTATAGAAAACAGGAGAGTTCCAGAGACTGATTTAAACCAAAAGGATGGTAAGTTTTTAAACAATAAATCCAGAAAGCCTCTCTTTTGTAGATTGAATCTTTTATAACTATTGCTTTTTAAAGTTTCTAAGTCTAGAAATTTAAAGTCATTGAAGGCATGGCCCTTGTCAATAAAATGGTTTTTTGTGTTTTTTTTTGCTTATGTATCCTCTTTGGAAGCTTTTTTCGCTTTTGTATTCTCTCTGCAAGCTTTCCTTCTGTGGCAGAAACACCAGCAGAATAGAGGGATGTCATCTAAACTCTTGTAACATTTTCTATTAAAGAGCAAAAATTAGGTAAATTGGCAGGCATTATTTTCAAAGATGAGTTAGCAGACAAAATAATAAACATGTACTATTTAAAGGTTGACCTTTAGCAGAGTAGGATTTATAACATAGTAACATGAACATTTTCAGTAACATATTCAGTATTCATATTGAATATTCAATATATATATATTTTTACAATCAGATTAGTCGAATAGAATATATTCATTCGAAGAACTTCATCCACCGAGATGTAAAGCCTGACAACTTCCTGATGGGATTAGGCAAGAAGGGCAATCTTGTCTATATCATAGATTTTGGGCTTGCCAAGAAATACCGGGATGCTCGTACCCACCAGCACATTCCGTATCGTGAAAATAAAAACTTAACAGGAACTGCCCGCTATGCCTCCATCAACACTCATCTTGGAATCGGTGAGCTGGGAGCAGATTATTTTTGTTCACTGTTGTATCCATGCTCATAAAATGAGAGCTGGAGAAGACAAATGGTTTTGACTTACAATTTTCTTGGTGACATTCTGAAAACTGTGTGTTTACTATAAGTGCAGTATCAAGTAAGGGAGCGCATTCCACCTCTTTAAAACATCAGGCAACTTCAGTATGGGACAAGATGCTTGGTGGTGTTTTGACCAATACAATACATTTTAGCTGTGTTTGGTCATGTTTGGATCGATACCTATGTTTGGAATAAGGAACACCCTTACCTTCAGGTCAAGCTGCCAAAAGTGCTCCTAGGTTGAGTTTACCTTGCTTTTGTCCAGCACCACAGCAATAAGGAAATCCATCATAATGAATGTTCTGCAGCAGATAGGTTGGAGAAGAGAATTTTGTTTTTGACTATACTTTGAGTGAAAGATGTGTTATGATTAACCCGACAGATTGTGCCTTGGATCACTTGTGTGAATCATCTCTAGCTACTTGCTCTGTAATTACCTTTCCACAGCTTGCCGGTTCTGTTTTTGGCACAATGTGGTCTCTGGATCAGAGGGCTCCAAAAATGCCCTCACTATTGGCAAGCATTGCTCCTTCAAATTCAGGCAGCAGCACAAGAGATGCAAAAGCGCATGCAGAGGACTTGGGTGAAGGAGGGAAGTGGTGGTGACCTCACATAATTGGCTAGTAAGCCAAGGAAGAATGTATGAACCCCTGATGGGCGGGTGGGTGGGCCAGGATAAATGATCCCGTGTAGGGGATGAGCTAGATGACCCTGGTTCTACAAAGTCCATTTCAGCACTGTGGGAATCTTTAGGAACAAATTGTAGGAGTATATTTTTACAGATTGTGTGGCAAACTGAATCCCCATCCCAATATTACTAGTGTCTTTTTTAAAGGTAATATTTCCACTGTTATTTGTTGCATTAAACACCGTTGTGCTATTTCACCAGATAATAGAACCTAATGGTTCCACTCTTATACTCTTGTAGAACAATCTCGCAGAGATGACTTGGAGTCCTTGGGCTATGTACTCATGTATTTTAACCTGGGCTCCCTCCCCTGGCAGGGATTGAAAGCAGCCACAAAGAGACAGAAATATGAACGCATCAGTGAAAAGAAAATGTCTACACCCATTGAGGTTTTGTGTAAAGGATACCCTTGTAAGTTTATTCTGTAGACTAGATAATCTTGAAATAAATATGCAGTCAGACTTATCAGTGTAACTTCTTTTAACTTAATATCATGTCTTCTGTTACATATCATGTCTTCTGTAAGTCAATATTGTGTTTTCTGTTATAGTTCACCATTTACTCTGGCACTCCTTTTTATATACGTGAATGGATTTTCTGTGTTCACTCAGCAACTCCTTTTTGCCCTTTTATCTTTTCAGATACATTTGTTCAGTGTGTCTTTTGCACTGGCTATAGTGTTTGCTCATCATGGTGAATTGTCCATTGCATCCTTAAAGGTGAAAGTCATGTGCGCACTTAGTGTTCACGTGATGCCATAATTTAACCTATAGTTGCTCAGTTCCTGTTTGAATAGGCAGGGGCTGCATTGTTTACTGTATGCCTAGCAACTGCTTTTCTTTGCATTTGTCCTGTAAATTGGGGAAACTGGAAATTCTTTGTTAGTGCTCTATAGTGCTCAGGAGTGCTTAGAAAGAGAATGAGTGGATAAATCTCTACTGATTTTTTTTCTTTTTTGCATTGACTTTGGTAATATGATCAGGATTTCTCGTTTCAGCCGAGTTTGCGACATACTTGAATTTCTGCCGGTCATTGCGTTTTGATGACAAACCAGATTATTCTTATCTAAGACAATTATTCAGAAACCTCTTCCACAGACAAGGCTTCTCCTATGATTATGTGTTTGATTGGAACATGCTGAAATTTGTAAGTAGCCAGATAATTTAAATCTAAATGCAGTGTGGGGAAGCTGGGAATGCTGTTGGGAGAACTTTATTTCTTATTTTGGGTTAAAAGTAGTATAAGATATATTGATTTGCTACCCAAAAGGCTAGTTAAATGTTTGGCTTTCTCCTTATGTCGAACTTAATATTGGAAGCCTAGGGGTAGGCACTACATATTTACATCTGATCCAATTGGTATGTTGATGTGAGCCTTTGCAAGCAGTAATACTGCAACCAGTGTTCCCTCTAAGCTGAGTTAGTGTGAGCTAGCTCACAGTTTTTTAGCTTCCAGTTCACACATTTTTTTCTTAGCTCAGGAAGGATGGCTGCAGAGCAAACTAATTTATGCAGTAGCCAAATTGCTCGCTCACAACTTTAATGCCAGTAGCTCACAAAGTAGAGTTTTTGCTCACAAGACTCCACAGTTTAGAGGGAGCATTGACTGCAACCAGTGTTTGTTTAGGGTGTTAGTTTCCAGCTAAATCCCTGAAGACTGTGGGTCTGACCATGTGTATTTGGCAACCTGTATTCTATCCAACTATAAACAGGGCCTGGACACTGGTTTAGAAAGGTCGAAGTTGATCTGATGTGATACTTGCCTTGCTGCTTTATCACTTGGATCCAACAGAGTATTCCTGGGGATGGAAGGCCCACTGCAGCTCAAAATGCCCCACTCCCCAGGTCACATACTGTTCTTAGGGATCCTCTGTCTACATAAATGCTCCACTGGATCCAAGCCATTAACTCTTAAGTGTTAATTTAAGAGTTAATGTCCCTTTACCATCATCATTTCAGTGGACCAACTGGAGCTGTTCTGATGTTGTTTTTGGCCCATTTTATTTGGAGACAGCTGACCGTATCTGATGAGTGTCAGGGGAAAAAATGACAGGTAAACAGAACTGTAGGATGGCTACCTGCATTGTTTTTAAGCATATTTGTTATCTAACTGGAAATTGAATTAAACCAGTGTTGATGACTAACATGAGATCACTTGAGATATGTTGCCATAGGTTGCCTGAACATTTTAAATACTCCTCTTCAGATTTGTTCTAATTAGCTGCAGAGGTCATTTCGGGGGGGAATGCGGGGGATCGCAGTTCCCCCAGGTGAGGTGTGGGGGGCGGGGCACACGATGAAGCCCCGCCCCCTGCTTCCGGCCGCCCCGCTTCCAGCCCTCATTCAGCCAGGAGGAGGCAGGAGAAGAGGGAGGGTAAATTGCTTCCTCCCCGCCTCTCCCCACCCCTGCCTGCCTGGGGCCAGGGAGGGCCTTGGCGGGGCTTCCTCGCACTCCCGCCGGCCTTGCAGGTCCACCGCTGGACCCCTGATGTCAGGGGGTGTGGCATATGCTAATGAGTTATGCTAATGAGTTCCCCTAGCTCTTTTTCTACGAAATGACCCCTGATTAGCTGTGGTTGTTCCAAAAGCAAGAGGCAAATAGAAATAGGGTGAGAATAGAGCTATTTTAATGGTCTTGAATATGTAGGCCTTAATTTTTGTTATGTTTAGGTTCTTGACTAATCACTGTTTTATTTGAAACCAAAGCATTTCTTTATGATGGCTTGATGAGGAAAACCTGAGCTAAGGTGTCCGTGTGGTCATATTAATTTTTCAGTTTCTCCTGAAATCTAGAATTTTGTTTGCTATTCTGATTTTTGATAGTAAATCACTGCTTTAGATGTCAGGTCATTCTGTTCATAAGAAACTTTTGATTTTATTGAAAAACTCCTTGTCATGTAATACATTTTGACTATGTGGTGCAGCTCAATAATTGCAGTGTGCTTTCCTTCTGAGATGCAGTATATCATTTATTCTGGATCAGATTGGTTTTTGGTCTTATTTGTAAAAGAATATGCTAGCAAAAGAATATGCTAGACCAGGGGTGACCAAATTTGCTTAATATAAGAGCCACATAGAATAAACATCAGATGTTTGAGAGCCACAAAACATGAACAAATATTACACACGTTTTTCTTTTAAAATATGCAAATTTGCTTTTTATAAACATTAAATGAGAATGCAAAAAATAAAAACAAAAGGGGTAAAAACAGATATTGATAATATTTATTTGTTCAATAATATTTATTTGTCCAATGATATTTATTTGTTTGATAATGATATTTATTTGTCAGAAAGAGAGAGAGAGGTGGAAAGAAAGAATGAAAGGGGAAAGAAAGAGAGAAACAAAGAAAGCAAATAGATGAGGGAGGGAGGGGGAGGATGAGAGAAAGGAAGGAAGGGAGAAAGAGAGACAAAGAGAAAGAAAGGTGAAAAGAAAACAAATAGTGGGGAGGGAGGGGGGAAGGATGGAAGAAATAGGGAAAGGTGGAAAGAATGAAAGAGGTGGAAAGAAAGGAAAGAGAGAGAGAAACAGAAACAAAGAAAGCAAATAGATGGAGTAGGGAGGAAGGAAAAGAGAGAGAGAGAAACAAAGAAAGCAAATAGATGATGGAGGGGGAGGAAGAAAGAGGGGAACAAAGGGACAAAGAAAGAGAAAGGTGGAAAAAAGGAAATAAATGGGGGGGAGGTGGAAAGAAAGCAACTTTAAAATGTGTTCTCCAACCCCCCCCCCCATGCCCCCACATCAGCCGGCTTGGCTTGGAGAAGGGATTTAAAGAGACAAATGCCTTCTCCGAGATGGCCGGGAGGGGGGCGCTTTGAGAATGCATTTAAAGTTAAAGTTGCTTTCTTTCTCTGCGCCCCCACCACCACCTCATGCTTCCCCAGGCACTCTGCCGCGAGCTGCACAATATTTGTGACAGTGCCATATGTGGCTCACGAGCCGCAGTTTGGCCACCCCTGTGCTATACTATCCTTGTTTTCAGTATTGCCTACATTTAATTTTTCTTATGCATTCTTCCACAAACACATCAGAGTTGCAACATTTTGTTCTGTCTTGAGAACCAGTCTGTTGCTGACCAGTACATTTTATTATTAGATCAGCTCTGCATTTTTTAAATCATCTAAGGGGACACTTTCAGTCCCTGCAAATCAAAACTGTAAGGTGACTATTAATGCTGGCCATGCTGTCTATCTCTCTGACTGCAGACCTTCCTAAAAGTGTTGGGTTTAGTCATTTGTTAGCAAAGTAGATATACGCTTTGATTTTTTAAAAACACATCCTCCTGGACATCATTCTCCCCTAGTTCAGTAGAATAAAATACTTCTAGTCAGAGGTGGAAAAAAGTAACACCTGACATTTCCTGCACTTTTTGCTAAACTGAATATGTATTGTCCATAGCTGAGAATCTGCGTGTTGCTTGCTTGTGCAAATAGAAATTGTGGCCCCTGTTTCTGCACTCCTGGTTGGGTGGCTGGTGCGCTCTCTCTCTCTCTCTCTCTCCTCTTGCTCTCTCCCCTCTCTTGCTCTCTGGGTAAACTCTGAATGAGGAGACATCTCTACCTGATTGGTCTTAACCCAGGCCCCCTCTACTGTTTTGCTGCTTGGCCTAAATAATATAGCAGGAGGAATAACCCCATTCCTTTTCCTTATTGCGCTAAAGCAACAAAGAATGATTCCCAGGACACTCTGGATAAGCAGCAATTAACACCAAAAAACAGCAGTGAAGAGCAACTAGGCAGTAGAGAGCTAACAGCATTCAACAACTTGGCAGCCTTCTGAGTTTTATATGAAATAGAATTAAAAGATTCAGACAACTTGAGTAGGACGGATTGAAATAGCATGAATACAATTTGTACCAAGTTTTATAACAAATTATCAAATGTGACTCACCAAGAAATGACTCCAGAGAACACCCCCCACATTGTTTTTTTCGGGGGGGAGCAAGGTTTATTCTTTCCCTTTTGGCTTCCCAGGCTTTGTGGCTCAGGTCTGTATCCTTTTGGTCTTCCCTGGCTGGGCGATCTGCATATCTGTTATGTAGCTGGATAGTTTTTATGCTGGGAGATTAGTCATACCCATCCTACTTTTCCCTTGTGTACCTGTTAGCCTGTAAAAGGTACTCAGTATCCCCTGAGCATATACAGAGTGCAGACCTAATTATTGTAACTTTTGATATGGATGCCAGGGTACAAGGCTTTTCCCCAGTAAGAGTTCTCTCATACTATGGCATTTTAGTTGTCTCTTCTATCTGTTTTCCCCTGGAAAGGCTAACAATGAGTTTATATAGTCACTATATGTGAGTCTTTTTGGAAATTTGATTTTCTCCTCCTTAACAGTGAAAATGTTATTAGCCATTAGTTTCTCTACTTGTAAGAATGCGAATTAGGTTGAAAGAGTAACTTGCACAAGGCTACCTACTAGCTAATGTCTGATTTGGATCCAAGTTGGAGTTCATGGACATGGATCTCAGGATGTGGCTGGAGATGATTCCGTGACCATGCTGAAGCTAAGCAGATATGAGTCTTAGGGCCGGGATGGAAGACTTCCTGGGGACCTTATGTACACTATCTTGAATTCTGTAATGGAAGGAAGGCAGGATATGGATGTAATAAATACAGTCTGCTTTTTCACACTGTCTGTCTCTCAGTACTGCAGGTAAGCTCAGCAGTTTTGCTTTGAAGCAGCTAGTTCTCACAATAGTGAATACATGCTTTTAACAATGCATTCATCTGAAATTCAGGAGAGGATATGTGCATCAGTACAAATCCAGTGCATCACCGATAAGAAGTACTGTGTCAGATATAGTCCTTTAGTCATTGTCTCCAGTATTACACACAGTAGTTCAACCCCAGTCACGTTACTTGTTAATATTTCAGGGTGCCAGCAGAGCAGTTGAAGATGTTGAGCGCGAACGGAGGGAGAGAGAAGAAAGACTGAGACATACACGGAACCCAGCAGTTCGTGGTTTACCATCCACTGCTTCTGGCAGGCTGAGAGGGACACAAGATGTAGCTCCACCGACTCCTCTTACGCCAACCTCACATACTGGTAAGCAGTGAAATGCTCTAGCTCCTAATCCAAAGGCAGATGCAGCAGGGTAGAACAGAATATCATCAGAGTAGTTCAAAGGTGGAATCAGCTGCCTAGGGAGGTGGTTAGCTACCCTTCACTGACAGCTTTCAAGAAAAGGCTGGATGAATATTTGTCAGAGATGCATTAGGCTGGTCCTTCATTGGGCAGGGGGTTGGACTAGATGGTCTATATGGCCCCTTCCAACTCTATGATTCTATGATGCTTGGGGTTCATGTTCAGACAGGAAGTGTGCCATACATGAAGCATTGTCGTTTGCCTTTACATAGTACTTGTTTGTATTGCTTGGTATGAGAGAGAAATTAGTTCTTTTTAAAATAAATAAATAAATCTTCCATCTCTTACAAATGCAGAAAGTGGAGCACCGGATCTGGTTCTTGGTTTTGACCTTCAAGGCCATTAGCAGTCAGGGACCTACTTATCTTCCGGGAATGCCTCTCCCAAAATGCCCCTGGAAGAGCATTATACTTCTGTAATAAGAATCTCCTGGTGGTCCCCAGCCCAAGAGAGATCCGCCTGTCCTTGACTAGGGCCAGGGCCTTTTCAGCCCTGGCCCTCACCTGGTGGAACTCTGTGCCAGAGAACATCCGTGCCCTACAGGATTTACTACCTTTCCTTAGGGCTTGCAAGGCAGAAATGTTCCGCCAGGTATTTAGTTGAGGACAGCAACAGTCTGGCACTTTCATACTCCCACCTCTCCTCTTTTTCTTCATATCTTTCTCTCCATCCAGGGGGCAGGTGGATACTGAAATTATGTGTCATCTTGGACACAGTATTGTTTTTTGATGAATTATTTTCATATATTTTAATGTTGTTTTAATTTTCTCATATATTATATTCGCTTTTGATGTAAGCCGCCCTGAGCCCTGTCTCAGGGAAGGGCGGCCTAGCAAATTGAATGAAATAAATAAGATAACGTGGCGTCCTATTCTGGGACTGGATCTTGATAGTCTTGCAAAATGAATATAATAAACATGTCTGAATAGAATCGCTTCTCAACTACTGTTTCTACGAGATACAGCCAAGCAAAGTGCTGTCCCTACTTTGCATCACTTGATTGATGTTGTCAACCACATATGGCTACACCAGTTTGGTGTAGTGGTTAAGTGTGTGGACTCTAATCTGTGGGAACTGGGTTTGATTCTCCACTCCTCCACTTCCACCTGCTGAATGACCTTGGGCAAGCCATAGTTCTGGCACAGCTGTTCTTGAAAGAGAGCAGTTTCTGTCAGAGCTCTCTCAGCCCCACCTACCTCACAGGGTGTCTGTTATGGGGAGGGGAAGGGAAAGGAGTTTGTAAGTCGCTCTGAGACTTCTTTGGGTAGTGAAGGGCGGGGCATAAATCCAGTCTCTTCTTCATTTGTGTTTCCTCAGCCTAGTTATTTTGAGAAAAAGGTAATTTATCCCCATGGATAATGCTGGCTGCTGTTAGCCTTGCACTTTTGCTAGAATTTGAAGCAAGCTTATGGTTGAAGCATAGAACCATTTCTTTACTGGTGGTGTTTGGACCCCAACTGTCCAATTTGCTTGTGCATTTGTTCTTTTATCCATCATGTTACCGTAGTGGTCATGGCCCTGTGTAGAAATGCTTTCAAGCTGGGTAAAATATATCCTGGCTGGGATTCAGAAAGCTATTTCAGAGGCATCCAAAGGCTTAAGCCTATGCCAGGTGACTTTTTTTACTTTGAACAGCCAACCAGCAACACTCAATAACAAATCATAACCTGATTTTGAAAGCCCTTTGGATTTTAAAAATTTGCTGTTTTTCTGGGATGCAGCCTTACTGCTCTTCTAGAGGACAAGTCCAAAGTACTTGTGACTAATCAACACAGTTCTCAAGCCATGCTCAGCCTGGCATCTGTGTATGATCTCAGCTTAGGCATTTCTATGGATATACAGTTAGCTAGAAGGTGGCATGACATGGCAGCAGAAACGAACCCTGATGCTTTGATACCAGTGTTCCTGGCAAGTATTAACCTAGAAGCTACCCGTCTGCTCAGTAAGTGGGTGAATAGCCTGCATGGTTCAGATCCATATTAGATGGCTGTGACTTAAGGTAAGAGTGATAGTACTAGGTTGAAACCTTTATCCTCAGTTATTCATACTTTGCTTAGAAAATCTAGAACTATCCAACAGATGTTTTGAGCTCTCCTAACCACCATGTTCTTGAAGTGTGGTTTGTCTGCTCTCTTCTTGGCAAACACCAATACTGAATAACGCACAGTGCCTTAAACAGTATATAGTATTGAGGTTTTGTTGACCCTTCCTCAGCACAATATAGTTAAGAACAGCAGAATTTCTGACATTCATCTCTGAAGAGTTCTGCAGATTTAACACAATCAACAAGTATAGTTCTTGACTTTTAAAAATCTTTTTGTCAGCAAACACCTCTCCTCGTCCAGTATCTGGAATGGAGCGAGAACGGAAAGTGAGTATGCGATTGCATCGTGGTGCCCCTGTCAATATCTCCTCATCTGATTTAACAGGCCGACAAGATACCTCGCGCATGTCAACCTCACAGGTACAAAAAGATTCTGATTCATTTTTGTGGGAAAAGAAGTAGGAATTTAGTAGCCTTCCTCAGAATGAAACTTAAGAATAAAAATACTCCTGATGGGGAAGTTCATCTCACAGTTGTTATAGTTAGATATGCAGTTCTTTTAGCTGATCCGAAATTTGCTGAATAGCCTCTTATGAAGGCCCTAACTCTTAACCCTTTGTGGTTTAAGTGTAAAGGGTGCTAAAATCTATGGATGGATATCTCCTCTGTTTGTATTTTAAGATATTTGTGTATTTGCTGGGTACAGCCTTTAACACCCATGCAAATTTCAGGGACTTTTGTTACACTATGTGAATTATCAAGTGATGTAAAGCTTGTATTTTTTTCTAACCAGCACAGCTCTCAGAAGCCTTGGGTAAATGAATGAATACCATTTGTATGTGTTACATTTCATGGAGAAGGAGGATTAATAAGCACTCTCCTCTTATCTTTGGTACAGGTTCAGTCTATCTAAAGTTAAAGATGAATAATAAACTGAGGCACTTCCCAGAGATATTGACATAGCATGGGCTGTATTTCAAAACAAATTGCCTTCTGTGGGAAATGGTTACTAATTTCTGATTGGTATTAGCATCTGCAGTCTCTATCTAATATAAGAGGGGGGTACTTTAAACTGTTGTGTGTCTGAAATTGTTATGTCTGATAAAATAAGACTAAGTCTATTTTGCGTGCTTTGTTAATTGTGTTAGGTAGTTGTACTGTTCATACAGCTTTGATTTTCTTTTCTCTTCTAGCACTTTTAGAATCCTCTGCATAAGTTTGAGAAAAATGGTTTCCAAACTAGCTTTGGACATACATCCTTGATGAAAGTGTGAAACTGAGCTAGATTAGTTGAATGAATCTGCATCCTGTGCAGTAAACTGGCTTCTTAACTTTGAAACTGTGACCTCTGACCTCTAAACATGCTAATTGCAATCATAACTTTTCCCATGCAGTATGCACTATTTTTGTATGTCAAATGCTTAAAATACTATTAGTTGAATTATAGGATCAAGTCGTACAAGAGGCTATAATGTGAATGCTTGTTGTATGCATAGTTGTGAAGCAGGATGAGAGTTGACCCAATTTTGTTACATTTTTGTTGCTTCTGCCTCCCTTGCTTTGGAAATTCATGCTTCTGCAGAAAACTACTGATCAACAACTAAGAGCCTTTCAGGTTTTGTGCCTGATTTAGCCCGTTTCCCCAATTTGTCATTTAATGCAGGCACCACCAATAAGGTACTCATCACATGGAATCCTGAGCAAGGAAAAATGGCATCTCTTTGGGCTATGTTACTCTTTCCAGTACAAAACAGCAGCCAAAGAAACAGCTGTGAATTTAGAAACAATAACTGGACTACTGGTTAGAGTTTAACGTCAGGGTATATCTGTGTAATGAGGAGCGTGAGTGAGAGAGACCTGTGTTACTGAAAGAAATCAGGCAGCACGAAGGATTTAGGCAAGATTGTGTCAAGAAAATGGCTCTTTAGAAGCATTAATGAGTTTGGTTGGATGTCAAAGTGCCAAATAAGCAAGAACTTCTGTGGTTGATCAGTACATAAATGTGGATGATACAGTCATGAAGGATGATGTTTAGACTACCACACTTCTAAATCAGTGAATAAGGACTGCTAGACAATAAGTTAAGAAATGGAAGAATTGACAAGTTTATAATACAGCAGTTTAAAACTCTAGTATCAGTGGTTCATTTTATTAACTGAAAATGTTCTACTGGGTAACAATTCACACTCTTCCCCCCCCCCCCCCAAAGTGTATGGAAGCAAGTTTGTTCACAGAATATTAATTGTAATAAAATTAAAAATTGAGACCATTCTATAAGAAAACTACTTCCTAGCAAAAATTAGTAAAGCTTTCTTACTATTACAACAATCCTTAATTAAAAAATGGGGGCTTGTAAGTCATGTTCATTGATAAAAACTTATTTCTACGTTTTGCTGTTTTTTTGTTTGATTGTTTACTTTCTTACTCTTTCCACATTTTTAAGCTTCTGTTCATGGTGGTGGTTGTTGAAGATACATAACCTGAAGCATCAGAGTATTTGAATCTCTGCAGTCTCCTAAACACTAAACAGTCTCTGATACAAAGGACAAAAATCTGTTGAGCATGCAACAGCCCTAAATTAGAAAGTGGAATCTGAAGATTGCAGCACTGTGGGAATACAAATTGTGATCCAACACAAATAGCTGCAATAGCATGCAAAAATATTACTATAACATACTGAATTGGATCTTGCAGAACTTTTCTGCGTGCAGAGGAAGAGAAGACTTTGGTTGATTGCCTCACATCCACTGCAGACCTCACACTCATACTGTTCTTGGAGGGGGGGTCCCCTGTTCCCCCCCCCCAAACAGCATTTCATGGCCATGGTATTTGTGTCTGGAGAAGCAGAGAAGTAATACTCTGACAGAAACATTTTTTGCAAAATCTAAATAAAAGAATCTGCACAATTAAATATTCAGGGTTTTGAAGAATGTTAAAGTTTTCTGCTAACCCTGATTCTGCACAAGATAATTAAGGATGGGCACGAACCAGGAAAGTGCTGTTCAGTTCATGGTGTGCCCGGTTTGTGAGCCACGAACCATCATGAACTTTTAGGTGCCAAATGAACCTCTTTGGTTTGTAAGATTTATGACGTGGTACAATGCCCCCTGGCATGCTAGAGACACCAAAGTCATAGGGGTTCTCCAGCTGACTGTTCTCTACCTGCCTGCCTAGTTTGGTGCTGATTGTATTTACAGGATCTGAATTATGGCCCCCCCAAAGAAGGTGTCCCCAGGAAAGTGCATTCTGGGGAAATGACAGGCACAGGTTCAGGAGTGTATAGAATGGACCCTGTGCAAGCTAGAGATATCAAACATGCCACGGACCTCCCCCTGATGCTCCTCTACATGTCCTCCAAGTTATGTGCAGATCAGACTTAAGGGATCTGAGTTACAGCCCCCCAAAGAAAATGCCCCCCGGAAAGTGCTTTTGGGGGGAATGTCAGGCGCAGGGTCAAAATTACACACACCAAATGCACAGGGAACCCACTTCTCTACAGTCTCTCCAAGTTGGGGGCGGATTACATTTCTGTGCTTTTGGTTAAGGACTCCCCCCAAAAAAGGTCTCCCCAGTGCTCTGTCTGGAAAAGACAGCTGCAGTTACAGCCAGGAATCTATGGACTGGCTCAGGAACAAGTACTTGAAAGGTAAGTTAGAAAGCAAAAATGGCCAAAATCGCAAATGAAATATGAACTAGTTGTACATAAAAATACATGTATTTATTACAAAGACATTTAAAAGCATATCAGGGCCCAACACAAGCCTCAAACTATAATAAAAAGTAATGTGTCCAAGAGAAAACAATAGTGACCTAATGCGTTTCAATTCAATTGGACTTTCCAATAGAAGGTACAAATAGGCTCTTATTAAAATCAAAAGACAATACACTAGTAGATATAGGACCAAAACAAGAGTGCTGTTAAGGAAGAAAATAATATTCTACTAACAATTTAAAATGCTGTCTCTAATGATTTATATTATTTTAAAAGTCAAATTTAGTAAACCAATTTATTGTATTTACTTCAAAAAAGAAATTAAAAGACACAAGAGAAATATTTCATGTGAGGAGGCCTCCCAGGATCTAGCCCTGTGTCAAATGAAGATGCACACGAGTTGAATGATACTGCTATTCTGTGCCTAGAAATAATAAGAAAAACAGTTTTCTAATATTAATTTGTGCCAAAATATAAAATAAACGACACCTTAACAGAGTAAAATTCAAAGTAAATAAAATAGCTTCCAATTTTGATCCAGATTCTTCAGTTGTAATTCAAAATCAGACATTTGTGTCATAAAATGTTGTGACCTTACCTATGTGGGGGTGCACATCTAGATTAAAATTGGGGAGCATAGAAACTGCATTCGTCTTAGGAGGGAAAATGCTCTGTTGGTTAACTACTTCACAGCCTTTGGCCACAACGAGAGACACCTGTGTTTCTTTGTTCTTGAACAAGTCCAAGCAGGCATTCTGCAGCTGGCACAAAATTTGAAGGCCAAGGAAACATTCTGGATTCATGCTTTGAAGACTTTAGTCCCGCATGGTCTCAGTGAACAAATAGATTGGTTATCAGTATAAGTAGGGGTTGTATAATATTTGGTGCATTGTTTTTTGCCCTTTTATTTGCATTATTAGGTATTGTATGATATTTGCTGTGCTGTTTTTTGATGATTGGTACTATCCCTTTAAATTCCTATCTACCATGACGTTGCAGTATTTTTTGTATCACCCAACTTGAGTATATACATCAGGATTGCATCATCTAGCACTACTATATATAAGCTAATGACATCAGGCTTATAGCACTACTGAAGCCACATTGGCTCTGATAAGGTACTTTACACCTAGATTTTTTGGACTGAAATGGGAAGGTATTTTCTTTATTTTGAATTTTATTCTGTTAAAGTGTGGTTTATTTTATTTTTATGTACAAGTAGTTCATATTTCATTTTAGATTTTGGCCCTGCTTTTCTTTTCTAACTAACCTTTCAGGTACTTGATTCAATTTTAATGGGTTGAGTTTTTCCCCCTCCCTTTTCTCTGCCTGGCTCAAGAACAAGCCAGTGAAACCGAACTCCCAGGAAAACTTCTCTTGGTCAGACTCCTTTCAGCCAGCCCCCCTAAATTTGCAGCCACCACCACCCCCAGTCTCCAAAGGTAGTTTCTGAAGGACAGGAAGGCAGACACCCCCAGAGTTTCAACAGGGGCGCCCAAAAGTAACCCTGTGGCATCTTGGCCAGGTACGCTAGGCACACAACACAAGCAAGGGAAGCATGCCTACAACTCTCATAGCCCCCCAACCCCAGAAGGGTATAAAATGTGGGTCCTAAGCCGGGGCATCCAGTAGCTAAGCCCCTCTGCACAGTGTGAGCAGAGAGATGGGGCAGCTCAGAGCCCTGAGCCCACCTAACACCCAAACCCCA